AGAGATGATGACAAATATTCATTGAGGGGGGCACCATAGCCATCTTTTATTAATTAATGGCTTTCCATACAATTTTTCAACCAGGGGTACAATCAAGGTTTTTAAAACCGAACCGGACAAGGAATCATTCTAGGGTCTGGTTCCTGATCGAACAGTCTAACCATTCGGTCCAAATGGATGGCCCACTCTAACAAAAAAAAAAAAACTTAAAAAAAAAGGCCAAAAACCATTGTCCAGGTCGATGGTTTGACCGCCTGGGTCAGCGGTTGCTAACCAAATCAACATTTTTTAGTCGAAAGGCGATTTTGGGGTGAAATAAAACCAGTTAAGTGACCGCTTCCCGGTTTTTCCAATCCAACTATCTGATTTGGTACGTTTTGAAAACACTGGTTACAATTGCCATAATTAATTTTAAGCTTTTTTCTCATATACATAAATGCAAAATATAATTTTCCCTTCTTGTTTTTCTTGTTTTTGGGTTGAATGGACATGTGAAGAGTAATAGACATGGACAAAGAGTTTCAAGATCAATGTTTTTCATTTTTAATTATAGTTTATTATATGTAACAAGACAAATCGGGTTTGTGGCATTTTTATGCATGATGTGTTTAGTTTATATATATATTGAAACTTCTTTGCAAAATGGGCTAGTGATAGATGACGCCCATAAAGTGATTATTTGGACGACTTGGACCAAAAGTATCCAGAATAACTGGCATGAAATTAAGCCTCATAGTGGATATTTCTTTGAGTTCCAAATATTAAATTTCCAAATTTGAGATCATAATTTCATGATTATTTTACTGTTTATAAAGGAAAAGCAAAGATTTTATTTCAAAGTCTTAAGGGTCAATTATATGGGCTGTGTGATTATCCAATTTATTTACTTGATAAGCTCTGGATGGTGTTGTGAATGAGTCGGCTCTGGTCCGAGTCAGGGAGGATTCAGTATTAACTGACAAATAAATGTGCAAAACCAGTCTCATACCAGACCCTATAGGATCTGCAAAAGAAACCCAAAACTGACCCTATTATTGATATAGACTATTGGGTCTGAACCTATCTTGACAATTTTAAATGGGAACCAAAGCTTATATTATTGGGTTGTGCGACTCAATTTTATCAAGTCTACCCGACCCACTTAGTTCTGTACTCGTTACAAGATGTTAGCATTTCTATCTAAGTTCTTCTAAGTGGTGGGTCTTTAACTCTATGGCTTGAAACTTTGAATTATATGTATGGCACAATTGACAGTTGGCAAACTTGGATGTGGGCACATGTGACAGAATCCGCATCCAAATTGGAACTTACACCTTTGATAATGGAGCATTAAGGATATGTTGGTTTGAAAGAAAATATAGAGAAAGGTAGGGAAACCTACCTACATTTCCCTTCCTTTCCCTATATTTTCATTTGAACCAACTCTCTCTCTCTCTGATAAGACCAAAAGATGTGTGTGCTGAAAGATCCAATAAAACTGAAAACGTCAAATTTCAAGAAGCTTTAGATGAAACTTTCTGGTCTTTCTGCATGATAAGCTTGTAGATGTGTTTTTAAAAGCCCAGTAAATTAAACCACTTGCCAAACAGTCTTTGTCCTTAAAGACAAGACCCCAAAAGTTTAATACGCCTTTTGGCCATCTGATCTGCTGGAAGATATTTCTAAAAAGACTTACCAATGGCACCTAATCTTCTGGGTATCTGCAGCTCTACTTTACAAAAGATCAAACACACCAAAAACAACAATGCGAGCAAAAATATGGGAGTACAAATGAGTTGATTGCAAAGTTTGATTCATTTTTTCTTTTTTTTTTAATTTACTTTATTTTGTAAGTTTTCAGTGTAAATGAAGTAAAACAAAACTAAAAGCAAAGTAAAGCAAAAATGAAGCAGAATTTACACATTTATACTAATGCAAATGAAATTGCATTGCAAACAAACAACCGAAGCCCAAACATGGTGGTGAGCTGCTGAGGCATGAAGCTTTGTAACCATCCAGAAACGTAACTATATCTGTGACTAGGCAGCAAATAAAAGGTTGTCCTATGTACTATTGGCCGTTGGATTAGGACCGCACTTGCAATCTCAATTTCATGGACGGACACTTGCAATCTTAATTATCCTATCAATCCCCATAGCTGAAGAGTTCCAATCCAACAGTTTCAGTTCGCAAATAAGTGAATGTTCGAAGTTGGGCCATGGACGTGATGGGCCTGTCAATTACTTCCTAGGCCCATTTAACGGTGAATAATTAAAACGAAACCCAGATGCTTTACATTAACACCTGTTGGTTCTATCTTTTTTCCAATTTCTGAAAATTATATTTTATGTCTTTCCACCGAAGATTATTGTCTGTGTTCAAATTGTTGGTCTGGTCTCCCTTTCTCTCATCTCTCTATCGATCTTTCCTTGTTTCTGTCTGTTCCAAACTCCACTGGTACTGGTTAGCTTGAAGCCTCCTCATTCTTGGTTTTCTTCCGTCGTTCTCTTAATTTCTTTCTTTCTTTCTTTCTGGGTTTTCTTCTTTATCTTTCAAGAACACGTCAATGGCAAGAACAAAAAACAAAGTAAATCTTTCATCTGAAACACATAATGCATCTCCTTCTTATAAGACGGTAACTCTCTCTCTCTCTCTCTCTCATCTGCTGACAAAGAATTGAATGTTTTATTTGAACTTTTGATAATCTAAACGGCTAGATGATAATAGAAGCGATCGGGGCTTTGGATGAAGCAGGTGGTTCCACTGAAGAAACAATATCAACATTCATCACATCATCGATTCTCATCACATCCGCTGATCACCCACGTCTTGTCAACGAGAATCTGAACCAGCTCATTGGAGAGAACGTAATTGGCATCAACCAGACAGACACAGAAAGATTGTATTTCCTTAGAAACCCTCTTCCGGAAGGCCACCAGTCGGCTGATCCCAGTGAAATCCCACGTGGTGATGACAGTTTTGATCAATGGCGACGACACCCTAGGTTGAGCATCGCTGCAAAGAGGCCTAGGACCGAAACACAGCGTGAAGAGCAAAAGTCTTGGCGCTCTCTTGTCCATAACCCATTCAGAAAGCGGCAACTGGACAATGCTGATGGTGGCGATGGCGGTGGCAGTAGCCATGAACAATGGTTTGAGAATATGGTAAACCGAATTGAGAAGCACTCTGGCTCTCTTCCTAGTAGCCCATTGAGGTACGGTCATGGCACTACCGCCACTACGTCTAGTTTTAGTGCCATTGGTGTCTCCGGTGACAGTCATGGCGGACAACGACTTGCAGAGAAGCCTTGTGGCTTTCTCCCCAGTACTGATTCACTCAAATCATGGCAGGACCATGAAAATGCATTCAGTCGCAGTGGCGTTGCCAGAGGCAGTTCCGGCAAACGGCGAGAGGAGAAGCAGCCCGTTGGCTCTCTTCCTCCTAGTGGTCAACTAAGCGTTGGCAATGGCCGTCATGGACGACGGAATAAGCAGAAGCTTCCGGACTCCCTTCCCAGTGCTAATTCAGTCAAAAAAGGGCAGTACCATGATAATGTTTCCAATAATGTTAGCAGCGTTCCCGGCTCCGTCAAGGTTGTTTATCGCAGGAAGGTTGTTGTGCAGCCCCTGGTTCGGCGACGGGCTCGACAAAGGTATAGATCTCTTAAAAAGATTCTAGAGATGCTTAAATCAGCCGATCCTCATGGAGCTGGTAAACAACAAGACGAGGAAGAAGAGGAAGCAGCTCTTCTACAACAAGATAATACTGCAGCTGCTACACAAGAACAACAAGATGAGGAAGAAGAGGAAGCAGCTGGTATGCAAATGCAACAAGAGGATAAGGCAGCAGCTGACAAACAATACCAACAAGATGAGGAAGAAGAAGAGGAAGAGGACGACAAGGGTTACAGGAAGAGGTGGAAGTTGCGGAAGGATGTAAGGATCAGACGTTTCTGAGAGCATAGAAGGATAGAGAGAGAATTAAGGGAAATCATTGAAATTGTTTTTAAGTACAAGGGGAATCATCTGGAGTTGTATGAATTCTTGCTATCCGACTATCCTGTACAAGTAAAACCATGTAATTGATTTGGAGGCTTTAAAAAAGTTGGATCAAGTCGGCCTTTTAAAATGTGATATGTTTATGTGTGCAATTTGGGTGGGCCCAAACTGAACCTAAAAAATTTTACACAGGTTAGGCTTGGATTATTGATCCTCGGGTTAGGTTTGGGCCCAAGACTCGGGGCTTTTTTTATTTTTTAAATTAGACCCAGACCTAGTCCTTAGTAACTTGAGCAAGGTTCCATTATACGCAATCGAACATACACACACACACACACACACACGCATAATTGCATATATATTTGCGGAAAAGTATGGATAAGCTCAATACAGATTTCTGATTTCCACTGCAGAGTTATAAACATTCAAAATGTCAAAAAACCCTACTCTACACACCAATGCCTGCCAGTGAATTGGCATCAATTCCGAGCTGACACCCACCCCAACTGTACTTTAGGCCTAAAAATTCTGACCCTGGGCTGAACTGTCATTCACCCTATATATTTGCATAAATGTATGCGTGCATGTGTAACTTTAGATAATTCATTGGCCAATCCAAACCCGGCCAAGGCCCAAACATAACCCAAATGCATCAAATTACAATGCAGATTGAACTCAGGTTGTGAAGATCTGACTAGACCTAAGGCTCTGTCCTGACTCGGGCTTTAGGCCCAAATCTTAAGATTGAGCCTCTTCTCCATAAACCCAGCCCAGCCCGCTCAACTTTCACATAATCAATATGGTTTTTAGGCCCTGAACCCTCAAACAGTAGGCCTCCACATGTATACACGTATAGCCGACTGTCCCCCACAGGCCAGGAACTTAGGCCAGGTGCAGGTCACTAGTCCAACCGGCCGGTTCGACCACAGGTTGAAAACATTGTTTGGCTCATGCAAGAAAGGATAAACATCTCATATACTTCAAGTTATCTCAAACGCTCCAACTGTCCAACATAATAACAGATGAAAGAATGGTTGCAGTGGTTTTTTATCAAAAAAATACGAAAAAGAACGGTTGCAGTGGGGGAAAAAACAAATGAAAGAATGGTAGTTCTCTATACAAATGAAATTTTGCCCTGTTTATCTCTAACCTGCTGTTCAAAAGGAAATATACAAAATTAGGATAAACAAAAGAAATTTGTAAGTTCTTGTTCTCATTCAATACATTTCATAATCACCTTTTCCCGTATCTTCAGGATAAAAATCATCTATGCTTTTATACTGACTCCATCTATAGAAGAGGTCATCTTCACTTTCATGAGACTTGACAGGACTATGAACTTCAGGAACCTTTGGTTCCAGATCTTTGGCTGCTTTCTCCTGCTCTGGTTTAGCTACTTCTTCCTGAAAACATGTCAAACAGAAATTCCAATGTTGAGAATCAGAAAGCCAGATTTCAAAAAATAATAATAATAATGAGTGAATTTACCTAAAGAGGGTGGAATAACTGGTTAAGAAATATTGGTATCGTATATAGGGCAACAACATTCATACTTTCAAGTTTCTCTTACTACTCTTTATTGTAAAGCCTGGATTACAGATACGTTGCACCTAACTCTAGAGAATCTGGTACAGAAACATGTAAAGGGGAAAAATGGGGAAAAGTGATGACCAAGAACATATACATTTTTTTCATGAGTGACCTCTTCTTCCTCTCCTGTCAGACCAAACGATTCCTCATCTCTACCAGAATCCTTCTCTGCTTGGGCAGTGGCTTGCTGTAGTCGCTCAATAACTAGTTCAAAATGGGAATGATCTGCAGAGAAAATGGACTTATTATATAATGAATGCATTACAAGCATCTTATGGTGCAGTCATCAGTGGCCCCGAACCTAAGATTGACCATTTTATTTGCCTACCATACATATACCTACTAATGAAATATTTCGTAGCTCGAACTTAAAACAAGTACTCTAGTACTAATAAAATTTTTACCGACTGATTATTAGTAACGGCAGGGGTTTTTGATTTTACAGGTCACACTATAGGAGGGTCATCTTATGGTGCAGTCATCAGTGGCCCCGAACCTAAGATTGACCATTTTATTTGCCTACCATACATATACCTACTAATGAAATATTTCATATCTCGAACTTAAAACAAGTACTCTAGTACTAATAAAATTTTTACCCACTGATTATTAGTAACGGGAGGGGTTTTTGATTTAACAGGTCACACTATAGGAGGGTTAATAACTAGATTTACAGATGAACATATCCAATTTGTACATTTTGAAGGAGGTCAAATTCATTAGAAATTGATCCAGAGAGCTTCAGCAAAATATTACAGATAATCAAAATGAATTGATTGACACATAGAGATCTCCTAATTGGGAGATACCAAGTATGGGTCTTGGACATAGCCAAAGTGCATAACAAACAACTTTTTGTGCAACAAAAAATTTTATGCAGAAGAGAGGAAAATGAATGGGCGGCAAATTGTTGAAATCATTTCGCCTAATCAATTTGCATTTGTAAAAGGGCAGCAAATTGTTGATAGCATTCTGATAGCAAACGTATGCATGGAAGAGAGGAAAATAAAGACAAGCCGGGGGTGATTGTGAAGCTAGACTTGGAAAAAGCATACGACAAAGTGGATTGGGAATGTCTATTAGAAACCCTAAGGCTAATGGGGTTTGGAAGAAAATGGATTCAGTGGGTGGAGGGATGCGTTAAATCTACGTGGTTCTCAGTCCTGATCAATGGGCAACCTAAAGGCTACTTCAAGGCTAGTAGGGGATTGAGGCAAGGATGTCCCTCTCCCCCTTACTCTTCACTCTCATAATGGAAATTTTTAGCCAATTGGTGAAGAAGGCAAATCTGTTAGGGTTGGTGAGGGGTTTCGAAGTTGGAAGAGATTCAATTCAGATGACGCACCTTCAATTTGCAGATGACATTATGATGTTTTTAGAGGCTGAAGAAGACAATGTTGTCAACTTGAAAAGGATCATAATCTGTTTTGAATGGATTTCGGGGCTCCGTGTTAACTTCTCTAAGAGCAGTATTGCAGGGCTGAATGTAGCAAATGTTCAGTCCCTAAACAATTTTAAGGAAATTCTTGGCTGCAAAGTTGAAAGTCTTCCCTTCTCCTATCTTGGAATGCCCCTTGGAGGAAACCCAAAGACTCAAAAAGTTTTTGGGATCCAGAAATAGAGAAATGTGAAAAAAAACTTACCACGTGGAAAAGAGACTACTTGTCAAAAGGCGGGAGACTTACCCTAATCAAAGCTTCCTTGGCAAACTTGCCCACATACTATCTCTCGTCCTTTCGAATGCCAACCAAAATTGTCATTCAGCTGGAAAGACTTCTAAGGAGGAATGTGGTTTGGGAATAGGTCATTTGAGAGAAAAAAGCACAGTTCTTCTGAGTAGATGGCTGTGGAGATTTCCTCAGAAACCAAATGCCCTTTGGACTGAGATCATCAGCAGCAAGTACGGGAAACATGCAAACGGTTGGAATTGCAGGTTGCACTTGAACCGGATCAAGGACATAAACCCTTGGAAAGGTATACTCTCAACCTACCAAAATTTCATCTCCTTTATCAGGTACAAAGTGGGAAATGGGGATAAAATAAAAATCTGGACTGATGTTTGGTGGGGTGACTCTACCTTGGCTGAATCCTTTCCTCGCCTCTATAGCCATACCCGAAACAAAGAAGCTCCCATCACCCTTGTCCTATCCTCACATCTCTCAGTACAACTGGAACTAGACTTTAGAAGACCTCTGAGAGAAAATGAACTTGAGGAAATATCTAGATTCCTTTACACTCTCAGAGAAGTGTACCTTTCCCCAAACGCCCCTGACACTCGAGTCTGGACCCTACACCCAGCAGGTAAGTTCTCAACCAAAGTCCTACTTCAGGGCTCTAATCAAGAAAGATCAATTAACTGAATTTTTCCCGTTTAAGACAGTCTGGTGCACTCACATTCCCTCCAGAGTTTGCTTTTGCATGGGAAGCCAGTCTGAAGAAGATCAACACTTTGGATCTTCTCCAGAAAAAGAACCAAGGAAGGTCCTATTTATCCCCTCATATTTGCTGTTTGTGTTTAAAAGCCAGGGAATCAGCCAATCACATTCTGATCCACTGTGAGGAAACCAGAAAATTCTGGAATTTCTTTCTCAATTGTTTCAATTTTAGTTGGACATAACCCGAACATGTGATAGACTGTCTCAGACAATGGACAGCAAGAAAGTTAAACAAAAGAGGAAGGATTCTATGGATTTCCGTAGCACATGCCATCTTATGGAGCATCTGAGAAGAAAGAAATAGCTGAATCTTCAAAAATAGAGAAAGAAACTTTGAGGAGCTTTTGTCTATCATTTCTCATAGAATTTTCGTTTGGACCAGCATTTTAAAGGAGTACCATTTTCCAACCTCCAAAGAAATGCTGCAGAATTTCTGTTCTCCAAACACAAATCCTTAATTCTCCCTACCCCACATTCTCCTGTGGCAGAAGGGGAGATAACCTTGTACTTTGATGGAAGTGCGTTTGGAAACCCAGGTGCAGTAGGAATCGGTGGAATTTTTAGAAGAAGAAATGGCACAGTTATTTGGGCTTTTAGTGGACCAATAGGGATAGCCTCTTCATCAAAGGCTGAAATTATGGCAGCATTAACTGGAATCAGGATTGCGAGAGATCTGGGTTTTCAGAACATCACCATAAAAGGAGATTCAGCAAATACAATCAGGTGGTTAGCTGACTCTGGCAGTAGACCATGGGCTTTAGCTCATTTTTTGACTGGAGCAAGGGATATCCTTCTCAACCTAAATGCACAGCTGGGTTGGATCCCTAGGGAGCTAAACACTGTTACGGATGGTCTAGCAAAAGCTGGTGCACACAGGGATGTCTTGTTTAGTGATAGTTCTCTTCCTACTTAACTTTGAGATGTTACTTCTGTGTACATCTTCTTATGTACCCTCTATTTCATAAATAAAGTTAACATCTTTTTTCAATATATATGCAAACACCAATCAAAACTAAGCTGAATAAAGTATAGGCTTTAAACTGATATTAACAAGTTGAGAACAGCAAGTATCATTTTAACCTAGAAAGAATAATAATTTATAGTTTATGCATAGAAAGGGATAGTACAGCTGAAAGTTTAAGGCTCATAAAGAGAACAATTACAATGGGGATATCCAATCCTTCATATAAATAACACCTTGGCCTTTGCTATTTCTAGTTTTATTTTTTCTTCCAACTGCTGCAACCTATAGAAGTTCTTGGTTAAACTCAGACAAATTGTATCCTGTTTTAACACAAAACTCCACTAACTTATAACTTGATGGCAGGAAGATTTCATAATGACTTAATTGTAGCAATATCCCATTAAGTGCACCTAACTCTTTTTCCAAATAAACCTAGCATGTAGCATCTTTCTGTTTGAGCTGATACAGCCACCTAAACCAGCAAGAACATCTGCCAAATCATCTGGATAGTTTGAAATCTATCCATATTTGCGCATGCTGTTTTTTCATCAGCCTCCACTGATATCTTTTTCAGCTAGTGGCTACATCAGTTAATGGATGCTCTCTCCAGAAAAAAGCTGCCACATGTACTTATATTCCATCAGAAGATTTAGGCTATACCAGTCAGTAACCAGGGGTGCACATTGATTGGACCATAGAAGAGTATAACATTTACATTTTCTCATATTGTAGTTGCTAAGTATTTATTTATAGCATCAACCTATCAAAAAATATTCGTAGTATGATATACAAGTGCTAAATTATATTTAATGTTAACTATGCTTCAATGCATGATACATTTAAATTTCAAGAAAATATTAACAACCCAAAAAATTAAGTACAAGGCAATGTTAAAGTTGACATAAAACTTCAAGCATTATAAATAGGTATAATGAGCCTACCACAGTTATTACCTAATGAGATAGGGCTCTAGGCCCAGTCCCAGCTCATTTAATAAACAGACTTCAAAATTAAGCCCGGGCCTGAGTGTTAAATGGGGAAAAAAAAAAAAGCTCAAAACAGTGCAACCCATGTTAAGAGTAACATACTGATCTCTCATATTGACAAACTTGCAAGATGTAGTCTCAAATGTATTCGCAGATAAAGGTGCCGATATGGTACAGTATTGTCAAAATACATTCATGTCCAAACTTTCAGATGAATTCAATGAGCTACTGAAGGAGAAAAGAGAAACTATGGCAAGTTACTGAGGATCACTGGCACAGTCAAGACTTCACCTTTTGAGCGATTTGTTAATGCATCATACAGCAGGGAAGGATGCTTGCGTTCTTCCTTCTTATATTTTAATTTCACTTGATGTCGTGATCGATTAGGAAATAGTTGTTGTATCATTGCAAAATCTGTCCCAAACTGCCGAACAGCCTGAAAACAGGTAAGAACATGCACCACAGTTATAACTCCAACTTGATCAAAATGGGCATATACTGAATAACAAACCTAAGAACTAGTACAGGGTACATTAATCTCAGTAATGTTAAATGCATGTGAACCATAAGCCTCAAGGCATGCCTCAGTTTGAGGCATTACTGACATGCTCCAAGGCTGATACTTGATGTGTGTTTATGCACATGAGGTGAATACCTCAAACCATGAGGCATGTATAACGCCTAGCCTCTGGTGTGGCATAGAAATGAAGCATGCCTCATATCTTATGCATGTGCCTTGTAAAGAATATTAATACATCCCTATCTCATTTAAAAATAGCCATCTTTTATTTTTTCTAAATTATAGTCAATCACTTAATTGTTTAACTTTTTATTATTCCACATAAATATCAATTATCAAACCTTTTGGCCCTTTACAACAATCATGGAGATTGGAAACCTAATAAACAAGGGTTGAAAAAAAAAAAAAAACCTTCTATCTTGTTAGAAGGTCAGATAGAACACCGGGCCATTAAAGACCAGCAGCTTTCTGTCTCAGCCTAAGTGCCGAGAACCATTAAACAAGGCCTGTTCCAACATTTGGAGCTATCTTGGAGCGACATTACAACTGCAAAAGGATTGGATTTAATCCTATCCAAATTCAAATCTAATTCATTTAGCCATAATTAGGTTTTGAAATAAGATCTGCCCATTGCTTGGATCAAATTCAAATATTGCTTGTCCATTAGGATCAAATCCGATCTGATTGAGTATATATACATACACAAAATACCACTTTTCAGTAGCAAACTTCTTTAGAATTAAGTGGGATTTTGGGTTTGGTAAATGTATTTTTTCTATTTATAGTACATTTTTTTGTTTTATATTTAATTTTATAAATTTATGCTAATTTTATATATGCACATTGACAGAATATCTTGAACTTAACAGCATATAGCAATATGTTCAAGGCACTTGGGTCCAAACAGAAAAAAAAAAGTAACATCAGTTTCTGCGCTATCAAGAAATTGGTCATGCCAGATGTTTCCCCAGCTGACGGTGAAGTTCAAAAAGATGTTGGAATGACTCAGCCAAAATGTAGTGAGGTGGTTCAATAATGACAGAATTACATGCCAGAGCAGAGACATTTCATCTTATCAGTTTATATTTATTTTCAACATAGAGTCCCAATTGTACATAAATATATGCATGAGGATTTACTGATCCAAGTACCTGATAGAACAATTCTGTATCTTGTTTTGACCATCTTCCATGAGGTGTCCTGTCCATAAAGGAGTGGTAATTTAGTTTAAAGGAATTCTTTTGTATTGTATGATTTGCTTGATCATCATCAGAGTTGAGACCTTGCGCTGAGGTGAAGGGATCCTGTTCGTCAAAGAACGTATCTTGGGGGGGAGAATTTTTAGCACTGCACAACAAGAAGATAGTCAGAAATATTTGAGGCTTTGGATACTGAAACTAACAGCCACAAGATCAGATATATCCATTTCTCATTTTTAGATAATAAAGGTAAGTTTCATTAAAATAAAAGATTACAAGTATCAGATGGCGAGATGTCACCAAGTGAAAGAAAATTGAAAACAATCTCAAATTTGTTTCTTTTTTATGAATAAGAAAACAAGCTTTTAGGTTGAATGGTTCAGAGCGGGACTATCAGATCTGAAAGGAGAAGTCGAGTGAACAGTTTTTTTCTTCTTCGCACCAGATTTCCAGATCTGCCGCCCTCATCTGCTGTTCGGCTGATTGAAGATCTCACACACTGAAGTAACTTTTCTCTCTCTCTCTCTCTCTTACCATTTTTTTCCTGGTCGTGTGCCAGGGCAGAACCTGTACTAGGTCTGCCGATTGGATGTGAGGTGATCAGCACCTCTTTCTTCCCTTTTTTGTGAGGTCGACTGATCCCTGTGAAACTGTAGGTCGTGAGGACCTTTTTGTGTGCTGCAACAGCAGCTTTTATGGTGAACTGAGGGTCAGAAAGTGACCAGTACCTCTTGTGTGCTGCAACAGCAGCTTTTATGGTGAACTGAAGGTCAGAAAGTGACCAGTACTTGCTGTAACAGCAGTTCTGTTGATGCGTAGGTCAAGAGATGACCTG